CATGGAACTCAACATGGGGCTTGATTCCAGGACTCCCAGGTGCCCCAAGGTGTACCATAACTTTTAAGAGTGTAAAGGGGTCCTGAGACGAAAGGGCTTGAGAACCACTAGACCGCAGGAGGACACCCTGACTGGTGAGCCAGATGTTTGGGAATTTCCATCATCCCCTTCACTTAATATCATCATCTCTGAAGTTACCACCATGTCGCAGCATAACCACGTTGCTGATTTCTGCACATGTTCTGGACTTTGGGGCTGAACTTTGTGCATACCATTCCTTTACCTGGAACATGTGTCCTGTACCCTTTATCTACTCATCTGGTGGTTAGGGGGTCAGAGCTATCATCTTAGCATGAAGGCCTGAGAATGCAGAGAATCAGAGACCCAACTTCAGTTTGTTTATAGGTATGCTCTGCATATAACCTTTAGGATTTTTGTTTGTTTGTTTGTTTTTACCATCTAAGGGCCAAATGTCCTGCCATAAACTTATGGGATTTTTGTAAATATTAGCTGACAATTTCTAGTGATATCTGTGGGCTGTTATGATCCAGTGCAGATTAATCAGAGTGTTTTGTGCCTGCTGTGAGCAGAACACTTGGCAGTGGGGGCAGGGACTTAAGGACCTACACCATGGTTGGAGACACAGGATTCACAGCCAAGGAGTAATTAAACAGGACACAAGAAGGCATGTAATCGAAGGGGTAACCAGGTGCTATAGGCCTTTAGGGACAGGGTGGTGGAGGCAGGGGTGGGCACATATGTGTTTACTGTGGCTGGAGAAATCAAAGAAGGCTTCTGGGAGGAGGCAGGGACTTGCTGGGGACTTGTTAGGTAGGCAGGGTTTAGTTAGAGGTCAGCAAGGCAGGATTTCAGGTCAGCGAATAAACACGAGCCAGGGCAGAGAGTCAGAAATGAGCACAGCATGTTCACGGCCTAATGAGACTGCTGACCATGGTGAAGGTGAACGGTGTGAGGTGATAAGGTTGAAAGCTAGTCAGAGGTTTTTTAGCTTGGACATGGAAGGAAGGAGGAATCAGCCTTTTTTTTTTTTTTTGGTTAGGGAAGTGGCATGGTGTTTTTCTGAGCACAGGATAGGTTATTACCGAATGGATTTAGGGCATCTAGTTAGTGATCTAGGGATGTGAGGTGGCAAGGCTCTGGACTGGGGTAGCAGCAAGGTTTTTTTGGTTTGTTTTTTTGTTTTTTAAGATTTTATTTATCTATTTGACACAGAGAGAGAGAGAGCACAAGCAGGGGGGACAGCAGGAAGAGGGAGAGGCAGGCACCCCGCCGAGCAGGGATCCCATTGTGGGACACTATCCCAGGACCTGAGGATCATGACCTGAGCTGAAGGCAGATGCCTAAATGACTGAGCCACCCAGGTGCCCAAGGTTTTTTAAAAAATGAAATACATGCAGGGAACTACTTCCAGAATGCCTGCTCAGTGCCTTTAAATGGGAGTGTTTTACATATGAGGGCATGGGGATTAAAGCCCCACAAGAGCATGTTTGTGACATAATTGGGACTTATCACATGTGGCTGCCTTTTATTCGAGTCTTTCTTGGGTCTTATCCTCCCAGCCACTAAATAATTGTCTGGTTTGGGGCAGGTCCTTTAACTCCTCTGTGTCTTGGTTTTGTCATCTGTAAAATGAGGGTGTTAATAGGCCTTGTCTCCTGGACTTGTTATGAGAATTACATGAGTTCATACATGTAAAGTGTTTATACTGGGTCCTGGGACATAGGAAGCCTTTAAAAAATACTAGCTATTATTTATTTATTCAGTCATTCGTGTTAGGTTGGGAATATAAGTATTTAAATTACCCAGTGGGCCAAAGCATTCAGAGCTGTGCTGAATCAAATCTCTCCACCCCCCCCCCCCAACCCCCCCAAAGAAAGCTGGCTGGAGACATTGTGAAGATGGGACTCAGGATCTAGGATGGAACAATGTTAAAAACTCTAATTCCATGAATACCTTAAGATCTAAGGTATAAAACCCGGAGACCAGAGTCACAATATAATCCTGCCACTTCACTGGCTCCCACTGCAGAGAAGATAAATCTGGATTACTTAGCGAGCCAGCAAGCCTTCTTGACTGGCTTTGTGTCGTCCCAGCCTCCTTCCTCCCCCAGCCTGGGAGGCCTGCCCCTCCAACCTGCACTTCTGCTTCTTTTCAAACGCATCCCACCCTGGACTTGGGTCTCCCCCGCCTTCTCTTTCCCCCAAAGCTCATTCCTCTTACTCCACTTGTGCCCAATAAAATTAGTCACCTGTTTTTAATAGACTTTATTTTTTAAGAGCAGTTTTAGGTTTACAGAAAAATTGCAGAGAAAGTGCAGAGTTCCCATATACTCTCTCTCCCAACTGTTTCTCCTATTAGTAACATTTTGGATGAGTGTGCTACATTTGTTACAACTGATGAGCCAATATTGATACATTGTTATAAGTACATTGTTATATAAGCCCATAATTTACATTAGGGTTTACTCTTTGTGTCGTACATTCTATGGGTTCTGACAAAGGCATAGTGTACTATATTCATGACAGTATCATACAGAACAGCTTCAATGCCTTAATGTTGCCGTGTGCTCCATCAGCTCGCTCCTCCCCTTTCCTCCCGCCATCAATTTTTAAGAATCAGAATGCCATGTCTTCAGTGAGAACATCTCGAATGAATCTCTTTGATGCTTTTGTGGCATTTTCTTCATACCTATAGCTCCTGTGTTCCACATAGTACTACAGATGGACCCGCACTCTTCTTCCTTCCCTAGGTTGTATCTCCATGAGGGAGAGGATGTACTGTGGATTTGGACAACACCTAGCCTAGACCCTGTTCTTAACAAGCGTCTTATACACGCTGGCTGACCTGGATTGTGAGCATGTATCAGGGTGGGACTTTGCAGAATTGAGGCAGGGCTTTAGACCTTGAAGTCTGGAAGGGACCGGTAAATGAATTTGATACTTGCTTCAGCACTCAAGGTCTGTGGATGGGAAAGTTCTTTGAAGGCAACCATCTTCTGTCCCTTCAGATTTGGGCTCAGGAGCAGCCTTACTGCTAGGCCACAGGGCTCTTCCCCTGCCTTGCCACCTCTCCAGAAAGAAAAAGTGAAACAACAACAACAAAAGAGGGGAAAGGAACAAGGAGCCTGATTGTTTTTATCCTTCCGTCCTTGTGCCCCTCTCAGGAAGGCCCCTGGAAAGCCTTATGTTTGGTCCTCACTTTCTCTTCCCAGGTGGCCCCCCCCCACAATTGATGCCCAGAGCGCTTTCTTTGGCCAAGGAGCACCTTCCCATAAACGCTTCTTATTTTCTTAAGTCACGCTGAGCTTTTTGCTTTAAAGACGCTGTTCTCAGACGTTCTCAAACGCTGTAGGAACATGCAGATCGGAACAAAAGCAAATAAATCGAATCTTGTGAAGTAAAGCAGAAGCCCTTCTCCAACAGCCAGCACAATGCTAAATGAGAAATAATCAGTCATCCACTAGATACAGTACTTTCCCCTCTAGACAGGAGCTGCCCTTGGCAGAAACCCCCACCCCAAATACGCGACAGTGAAGGTACTCGCCTCCGGTACCACACGAGAGGCCGCAGTTTTAGCGCACTACCTATTCCTTTAACCAACACTCGCTGATTCAAAGACCTTGGCCTTTACTTCCTTGTACCTGCCCGCAAACACACGTTGGGGGCGGGGGGGAGGGAGAGACGCAGACAGAAAGTCCCCCCTGTCACTCCCCGAATCTTTGGGCCCACAGTGGCGCCAGACCCAGCCCGGGTTAGAGGGGGGGACACTCTGGAAACCCGGTTAGATCTCCAGGTGCCCTTACCTGGGACAGTGAATGCTCTCCAGAGAGCAGGGCTCCCCCATCCTCCCTCAACCAGGAAAAGCCAAAGGAAGCAGGAGGGGGAGTATGGAGGGAGCCTGGCAAAGCCCCTCCACCCCGAGACGACCGCCCGCGGGCACCTGGGCTCCCAGGGGGCGGGGCTTCCTCCAGGTGTGCGGAGGAGAAGGACGCGGAGGGCCGAGGCCAGCGCTGGAGCCTAAGCAGCGCACTCTCCCGCTCTCCCCCTTCCCATCCCCATTCCCATCCCCATCCCCAACCCCGCCCCGCCGAAATGAAGGGGTGGAGCGGTTAATCCGCACCCGGCGTCCGCGGGCTCCGCAGGCCCCGCCCACCTCAGTCGGGCGACAGCCCGGAGCACGCTGCGGCGCTCAGGGGGTTAAGCGGCTGCCGGCGGCCGGAGCGCGCTTAACCCTTTGGCGCCCGCGGGTCCTCCGAGCCAGGCGGGGTGTCGGTACCCCGAGCCCCACGCGGCAGCCACCCCGGGCGCGCGGGCCGAGCGGGTACAGCCGCGGGCCGGGCCCGGCCCCTGGGGCGCGGCGCGGCCCGTGGGAGGCTCGGCGGGCGGGGGGGAGGGAGGGGACGGCGGCGGCGGGCGCACAGCGTCGCCAGGGCGAAGCCGGCGTGCGGCGCGGCGCGGCGGGCGCGGAGCGAGCGAACGAGCGAGCGCCTCCGTCCCCGGATGTGAGCTCGGGGCGCCCGCGGTCCCGAGCCAGCGGCGGCGCGGGCAGCGGCGGCGGCGGCGGGCACCGGGCACCGCGGCGGGCGGGCGGGCATGGGGGGCGCTCCGAGCGGCCCCGGCGGCCGGGCCGGCATCTCCGCGGCGTCCCTCCGCTAGAGGAGGGGACCAAGCCAATTCTCCTTTGCAGCAAAAAATTACATGTATATATTATTAAGATAATATATACATCTTATCTTATTTTTTTAAAAAAGTTTATTTTGCTCCATTTTTGAAAAAGAAGGAGCGTGGGTGGCGAGCGGTTTTTACAAATTATTCTTATTTCTGCTATCTGTCCCCGTCCCTCCCCACCCCCTGCTGAAGCGACAATAAGGGCAGGGACCGCGGCTCCTATCTATTGGTCACCCCCTTACCCGTTCCTCCCCCGCCCCAACGCCCAGCACCGTGCCCTGCACACAGTAGGCGCTCAATAAATGTTCGTGGATGATGATGATGATGATGATGAAAAACATGCACCATCAACGGCAGCAGCAAGCGGACCACGCGAACGGTGAGCAGCCAGAGCCTGGGCACCCGCTGCCAAATCTCATCCTTGTCATGGTCCTCCTCTTCCCACCCCCTCTCCCTTCCCACCCCCTCCCGTCTCTGATGCGCTGGGTGGGTTGAGGGGGTTGGAAAGGATGCTTCTAGCTCGGTGCCATCTACATAGAAAGGGGAGATGCGTGACAGCCACTCCGTTCTCCCCTTCAGGCCTTGAATGTCAGAGTTAATTCTGCATTTGTGGGGTGGGGGCGGCCGTGGAGTCCTTGGAGTACTGTGCCGCCGGAGGGGCGGCGAGCCGAGGTGATTCGGGTTCAGTGTCCTCGGGCTCAACTTTCCTCCAACGCTTGCGAGCGATGGAAGGGGGGGATGGCTGTTAGTCCTGAGCCTGAGCCCCCTTTTCAGCCTCTTCTCGCGTCCCCTCCTTCCCCGCCCCCTGGTCTCCAGTGGCATCCGGAAAATTCTAGGATTGCCCGGTTTCCCTCTTCGCATCGGTGGGTGAAGCACACCCCGCCCCTGGAGAGGGAGGCCGGGTCTGGGAATCGCGGCCAGGGGGTCGGGAGGAGAGTATTCCCGCTCCCAGCGCTGCGGTGCACACGTCGGTAACCTAGCAATGCCCGGGGAGTCGCGGCCGCTGTGGGGCTCCCCTCCCCAGCCTGGCCTGGGCACCACGTGCAGCCACCACGCCGGCCGGGCTGGGTCGAGACGGCGCCTGGAACAGCTTCTGGTCAGCCCTCCTACCTCCTCCTTGGAGGCCCGGGGGGGGGGGGGGCGCTCCCCCACTCCCCCCAACCTCAGTGGGCTCACAGCCTTCCCTGGAGAGCGCTTCCCAAGGGAAGGCTCCGCAGGATTCCTCCCCAGCTTGGTTTCCAGCAGGGGACTGCTGCTGCCCCAGGCCGGGGGGGCCCCCTCTCGGGTTGCTGGGCAGGCAGAACTGTGCTTGCTTCGACTCTCGTTCTTTACTTAGCAAGAAATGGTTTTGCAAAGGCCCATCCCTCTACCTTTGCCGCCACTCTCACTTTGACTTCTGTCTCAGTAAGGAGGTTGTGACTCAAGGTAGGCAAGTGCCTGGGAGACCTGCCTTAGGTGGAGGCCTGACTCAAAGTCTGAGGGGGCTTTGCACGTGGAGCCCCTTTGGGGTTCTGCCCTGTACCTAGATGCCAGCCTGCGCTTATGCCAGCCTGCACTTCGGGGACTCCTGCTTGGGCCTTGAGGGCCCCTGGCATAATCCATCCTGTCTTTCCTAGGGGTAAGGGTGCAGGCTGTCTGCCTTGACTGTATCTCTGGATGCTGGCTTGGCTGCTGCGGCTGCAATTTAAAATGCAAAAAAGCCCTAAAGATGTTTTCTGTTTTCGGAAGCCTGTGGAGGAAATGAGTCCCAAGCATCATGAATTTTCATTTGTAGGAAGTGTCAGTGCATAATGTAGATATTTGTTATGGGGCTTTTGGTATTGCCCTGGTGCCAGTGGAGGAGTTTTTTTTTTTTTTTCCCCTATGCCAAAAAACATGCATTTGTGGCTGTACAGAGATGTTGGAGTGACATCCTGAAAATGATTAAGACTATTGAGTTATTGGCACTGCCCCCCCCCCCACCGGTGGTAGTTATTTTGGAGAAAAGCTATTGTGCATATCTGTTAACTCATTAGAGATCCATGGGTTTTTAAATGTCAGAAAAGGTGGGATAAGTGTGGATGGCCTCAGTTTGAAAAAGGGCACCAGCAGAGTCCTTGGGAAACCGTGAATATAGAAAGGAGCTCACCCCATTGCACCAGTGGTCCCGTGGCGCCCAGGACCTAGCGCGAGCACTTCTTTTCCTGCTCTGGTTGACCACATTCCTGCTTCTGAAAAATAGGACATGAGGTTCCAAAGGGAAACATGGGAACCATACCCCCCCACAACCCGTTATTGATGGGAGACAGCCTTTGCTTTTTTCCTGAGACTGGATTCTCATTGTTTGTTTGTTTGTTTGTTTGTTTGTTCATTTTTCCTTTTCTCCTTCTTCCCAGAGGCAAACTATGCAAGAGGCACCAGACTCCCTCTTTCTGGTGAAGGACCAACTTCTCAGCCGAATAGCTCCAAGCAAACCGTCCTATCTTGGCAAGCTGCGATCGATGCTGCCAGACAGGCCAAGGCTGCCCAGACGATGAGCACCTCCGCACCCCCACCTGTGGGATCTCTCTCCCAAAGAAAACGTCAGCAATACGCCAAGAGCAAAAAACAGGGTAACTCATCCAACAGCCGACCTGCCCGCGCCCTCTTCTGTTTGTCACTCAATAACCCCATCCGAAGAGCCTGCATTAGTATAGTGGAATGGAAGTATCCTTTTTTTTCGGGGAAGTCTTTCTCATTTTCTCTTGAACATCTGTTCTTTAAAAGGATCTGCTTTCTGAAATGGCACTTACAAAGTCATAGCCGTCTGGGATGTGAACAATGGGAAAGCTCTGTGTACAGGGTCTCATTGTATATACCTTCCTATCTCCTCGCGGTGCAGAGGGCTGGCTCTCTGGGTATATTTAGCCGTGTGTGTGTGTGTGTGTGTGTGTGTGTGTGTGTGTGTGTGTGTGTTGTGATGGAGGGAGGGGGCGACAAAAACTTCAAAGTGGCAGTCAAATGGGAAACTGACCTTTGGTCATTTGATACTAGGTGGTTAGTTTAAACCCACCATTGCTTTCGGGACTGTGATAGGCATCGAACCTCTTGCAAATGAGGTATGCTGATTTAAAACAAAAAGACTGTACGAGACTTTGCTAGAAATAGATACATTTTTGACCTTTAGTGGCATCTTCCCATTCTGATGCTTAGAATTTTTTTTTCTGCAACTCCCCACTACGGCTGAGGTTGCTTCCAGCTCTGACATTTGCTGATCTGATCGTTCAGGTAGCTACAAATATGAACACTTGCTTCATAGGGAGGGAGCAATTTGCTCATCAATGCTATGACTTCCTGGAATTTCCTTTTGACATGTTCCAAAAAAGCATTTGAAACGTGAGCGTGAGGGAGCATGTGGAGGGAGAGGCTTGTGTGCGCCTCTCCTTCCCGAGCCCTTGTGAGCTAGAGAGCAGTCTGTCAGTGGGGGAATTTGCAGTTGCTGCCTTTATAAAACATTCTGTCTGTGTCTTGGACTGGAGTTACATTTTTGAGTGTCTCCTATGTATTTTTAAAACTGAACTCCAAATGCCCCAGGATCGTTGTTAACGTCCCAGATCTTGGAAAACCGGGGTGCTCGGCCTGCTCACCCCTTCCCCAAATCTGGAAGCCAGTCTCCAGTTACTGCCACTCTCCAGAAACGTTGACTGAGGCCTCCTTTCTGAGCAAATGGCTTTCTAATTAGTCAGATGATTCACTGGTCTGCGTAAAACAAAGCATTTCCTTTTCCCAGAAGTGTATTTGGGACTGACAGGAGCCTTCGAGTAGCTCCTAAGCATAAGAAGGCATGCGGGAGGTCAGGCTTTCCCCAGCACCCCCAGGGTGAAGGAGCTCAAAAGGGAGGATCTTGGCCACCAGCTGGAAGGTGGAGCTGTAACCCCTTTAGAACCTGGGCACCTGGTTCTAAGCTGGGCTGCTCTTTGCAGGCCTTTTGTTGTAGCTGGTGGTTTTCTGTGCTCATGGACACAAGTTAAAATGAGGTAACTTTGTGGAGAAACGTTTTGGAGAGGGCAGCCAAAGGCGAGGGTAGGATTTAAGGGGTTTTCGTGTGCTTTTCCTTTTTAGAACAGATGTCTGTTCTCTAGAGGAAGTTATGGTGTCTCTCGCATAGCTGGGGGTGCGTGGACATGTTTTCTGTGTAAGTTCTCTTCTAGTCTGAGAATGAACGCTAGCGTCAGCCCAGAGGCAGCTAGGCACGTGGGGGCGTGCCTCGATGGCATCGTTGCCGGCAGAAGCATGGTTGCACTCAGCCAGAGAGATCTCCTCCTCCTGAGGTCGGCTTGACATGACTTTGGGTGAGCAGAGCCCTCTCTGGGGTCCTTCATTGCACGTGGAGTAAGGCGGGAGGCCTGACACTGTTCCTCTTCGTGCACAGTAATGCATGTATCGCAATTTATGTGCACGGAATGAATTCCTGGATCATGCAGCGGACTCCCTTTCCCGCATGGCCGGACACCTGTGTACAGGAACTAGCGGATGTGGCTGCCAGTGCAGGGAGAAGCCTGCCTACAAATGGGACAGTCTGTAGAACAGATCTTTAAACAACATATGATCTGTTTGTCTTTCCCAGTGACAGTTCCCTTCTAGTTCAGGGAGCAGGTCAGAGAAATCCTCTGAAAGCCAGCTGTGCCAGGCCCAGTCTGCACGGGGAGAGTGAGAACCTTGCTGGTCTGTATACCCAGACAAGGCAAGAGTGTCCTGCATCTTGGGGGAATGAGGAGGGTTTGCCTTATCAGAAGGACTTTTTGGGAGCAGACCCATCTATTTCTCTATTGCTCTGTTGTGCGTGGCGTGTAAAAATCTTGGGGCAGTGAGATAATTAACCATCAACACTTGGCAGCTGAAATCAGACCCCCATAAGGAAAAAAAAAAGTGTTTGGCTTTCCTGAATAGCATTGGTATTTCTTGGATTTGCTGGTCTATCATTTAGGTATTGGGAACTAAAAGAGAAGAATGGTGGTATGGGGGGGATGGGAGAGACCACAGGGTGTGTTTTCTCTGTAGGGTAACAGTGGGGCAGTTGGCTTTTAAAATTGCAGTAGGAATGGCAAAAAAAAAGAAAGAAAGAAAAACGAAAAGAGGATCCTGAAGTATTCTGAAGGGGGACTGTCTTGAGGTTGGATCCTTGGATAAGAGATTTTGTAATACTAGAAGAGGTAAAAGAATAAATATGAATGAAAGCTAATTGGCTTTAAAAATAAACCCATCAAAATTAGTAAGAAAAGAAAGTCATTCGTTGTCCTTATTTCAATGAGTGTCGAAACACTTTAAAGGGGTGATTTTTCATAAGACTCAGGGTATCCACAGGGAGGTAGTGGGCCTTTGTTTCCTTCAGCATTTTTGGATTTCCCAGAAGGATATTAGGATGAATGGAGAAGGCTCTGTTCACATCCTCAAAGCTTGAATACTTGGAGATGTTTAGTACCAGTGGCTTTGCCTTTTGTGAGTGAGGTTATGGCAGAAACACTTATAAAATCAAGTCATTGCCCCACCTCCTCCCCCAAAGTTGCAGATTATGTTGGTGCTGAGAAACCTTGCATTCGGAAAGCCTGAAAGCCAAAAGAAGAAAAACAGTCATTTTGGCAGAAGTCAAATTTTGCATTGCCAGTTTTGACAATGTCTCTTAATAACACCAGAATGTTGAAGCAAGTATCTGTTGCAAGCTAATTTCAAAGTGATTTCTTCCAGACAGACCCCCGAGATTTAGAATTGTTCAATTGTACTTTCAGAGTGTCTGGTGCTGATTTCTTATGGCTTTTTATTTAATTTGTTTATAAATTGAATGCAGTAACAGCTCATTAGAAACCAAGCTCCAGTCCAGCTGTAATCCGAAACAGTGATAGGCATTGATTAGTAAAGGAAGCAGAGGGGGAGCTGGAGCCTGGCTGCTTGTCACAGTGTCTGAGGTATTGGAACATGCCACGAGACGGTCACAGGTAGAGTGCAGAAAGTTCTGGTGCCTTGGCCTGCCCCGGTCCAGACAGGAGACTGACCCAGCCAAGAATAGCCCCCGAGAAAATGGCTTTAACACATGGAGGCAAGGATTTGTGGAAGAGATTTGTCTCATGGGGACTTCTCTTTGTGTCTAAGGCACCAGGAATGTCGTGTTCTCAGGCCTTTGTCGCCTTTAAAACTTGAAGAAGCAGAAACATGTTTCTTAGGGTGCCCTCACTGGATGTATGTGTAGGTTTCAATATAAAACGCACAGCAAAGAATGAGCGTAACATGGTCCTTGCAAGAGAAAGAAAGGACATGAAAAAGTCATTCGATAGGAACATCTGCCAGATGACCATGGACGATGACATTTGCTGGAGTCAGAGCGGACACAACAGTGGGTCGAGAAAGGACTCGAGTGCGTAATTTTCATTTCAAAAGTGATTCAAGAGTGGTGTGATCGGGAGTGTGATGGGAGAGATGGTTTGTGTTTGCATAAGACATATATGCCTTAACAACATTTTCCAGACCATTTGACATATTTATATTATTGGCTATTTTTGCCAATTGTGTGGCCTTAGCTATTTACATCCCATTCCCTGAAGATGATTCTAATTCAACAAATCATAACTTGGTAAGTGTCCTTAGAGTTCCTGCTTGTCCTGATATGCGGTTTTCATTGGCTTCTCTACTTAAACTGGCAGCTGGCTTTCTGGGTGGTGGAAGTTTACAGCTATGCATGTGATGTTTCCTGGAGCTTTGCAACAGGGGGTTTGTTTGTGGGGTTTTGTTTTGTTTTTTTTTTTTCCTTCTGACCTGTATTCTCAAATTTATACTGAATGAAAGTGTTTAAAGTCATGAATCTTGCATAAATAGATGTGGCACTTTTTAATGGAAGAGGTTTGTAGCAGATTTTAAAATAACTTTTCTCTCCGCATAGGCTTCTGCTGTCTACCATTCTTTTCCGGATAATATTAGTTCCTTTTGTTTTTGTTTTTGTTTTAAATCCTGTGTTTATTTGAGAGTGATGGGTATTTTGTTTGGTCAATTTTTCTGGTAAGTAGAGAATTATCGTAGATTTTGTACATGAACTATTATTCATTTTCAGAGCATCAGAATACTATAGAATGAGTAGATCTACGTTGGAACATAATTTGGAGAATACAGTGTAGTGTTCCATTAGGAGGATCCTATGAAGATACATTTTATCCCAGGATAAAATGATTCTAGGGTTAAATAAATTGGGATACTTCCACATACTTTATTGCCCTCTTAAAGATTTATAGTGCACATAAGCTCAGTAAGAGCTCCGGGAAGGTCTGTAGTTAAAAAACCGGTTTCATTTTGTTTAACTCAGCTAGTCTCTAAAAGTAATTGGTCATGGATTCTTCAAACAGTTTTTTGGCAGACCACATCACGAAACCGTTGCTTCATGAAACTTCCTTTGGGAAAGGTTGATATAGTTTAAAAAATAAATAAATAAATAAATAAATAAATAAAAGAAAGAAAGAAAGCAAGCCTGAAGGAGCACCCGAGTTGGGACTAGGAGCTTGTCCCACTGGGCTGGGACAACTAGCTGTGTTTTGGGGGGCTTTTCCCAAATCCTTTCCTCATTGCTGTTCAGCCACTTGTTAGGGGTTCTGGATGAGGTGATCACTGGGATTGTATTTGCTTCTGACATTCTGTAATCTTTCCTTGATGATTCAGAAGCCATGTCGGGATTTTTCTGGAGCAGCCGCATCCTCCTTGGGGGGGTGGGGGCCGCTGTGCAGAAAGGCAGGTGGAGGAGGGGGCTGGTGCTGGGTAACAGGGAGCTCTCTTAGCTAGATTCATTTCTGGTTTTCCATGTTGCAGCTGTATTTGAGTAAGGTGGCTGTTTGTAACTGAGCGAGTGGTGTAAAGGCAGAACCGGGGTGTGTGGGGGGACTGCTGGGTTCTGAAGATACTAAAATTATGCTCTTGTGATTTTATTGATTTGATATGATTTTTTAAAGATTTTACTTAGTTGTCAGAGAGAGAGAGAGGGAGAGAGAATAAGCAGGGAGAGTGGCAGGCAGAGGGAGAGGGAGAAGCAGGCCCCCTGCTGAGCAAGGAGCCCAATGCCGGACTCCATCCAAGGACCGCAGGACCATGACCCAAGCCAAAGGCAGACTTTGGCTTAACCAACTGAGCCATCCAGCCATCCCTGCTCTTGTGATTTTAGCCTTAATCGTCTGTACACAGGATTTCATGTTACACTTAAAACGTTGTGGCCTATGTTAGGTGTAACATGAGGCCTGTTCATATTTGGGCTTTTGTAATCTGAATTCTGGAGAATGTAAAAAAAGTTTTGGGAATTGCTACTGAAAATATAAGTCAGCAGGAGTTAGATACACATACACACAGTTGCCGTGAGTGTGGGTTTCTGCTTTGCTGGGGGTGATTTGTGTGCTTTGCTCGTAGACGTGCGACATCAGATGATCCTTCTAAAGGAAGAGCAGAAGTGGCGGAGAGCCCCCATCGAAGGGGGTGGTTCATCAGAGGCGAGGCCACAGATGGTGTCAGCCTTGTTACCAAATTTAACAACGTGGATGGTGACCCAGTTTGTTGCTTTTTGTAGCTCAAGAGAACATGATTAAACAAACTTAGAGAATAAATACCTTTCAGAAAGGCCGATTAATTCAGATCAATGGAATAATTAATGGAGCTGCCTGCGTAAGCCAATTAATATTCTGATTTTTCCCAGGGAAATTCAGGGCACTGATATCTGCCATCAGACCGTTTGGATTTCTCAGTGAATGAGTAAGGGAATAAAATATAGGAAATGGATAAATCTCTCTTCTTCTCCCTTGCAATCCCTCCCCTGCGGATGCTTTCTTAACAGTTCTTACACAGTGGTATTTTAAGGGGTGGGAGGGAGGGAGGCCCTGTATTAGTTTGGCAGGCCTTTCTAAAAACCAACATATATACTCCTTTGACCTCTTACTGTTCTGAAACTCTAGCATTTGAGTTTCTGTCTTGTTTCACTTGGATGGTCACATGGCTAGAGGAGTTTATTCTCTGCTTGACTCTTTAAATATTTCCTTTCCCACTGTGGGAAGGGAAGATCTTTGCAGATTTCCCCGCCTGACTCTCTGTAAGGTCTCAGGCCATGTCAGTGCTCCCACCAGGGAGCCAGAGTTTTTTTGTTTTGTTTTTTTTTTAATACATTTGACCCAATTTGTACCAAAGTGATGGCTCTATTTTTGGGATCTGTTGAGAGGCGGCTGAACAAAGCTTATTTTTCATCTGTAGTAAATACCTTCCAGTTAACATGAATGGCAAATCAAAGGGCAGAGAGCGATACGGGTTGCAAAGCAGCACGCGTCAGGGAGCTGGTGGGTTTCCTTTGCACCTTAGCTCTCTGGGAAATGTGTATGTTGAACCCTTAGAGCCAACTTTGTGCTGAGCCGTGTCTGCCTCTTAAGGTCATCTGTAGTGACACGATTACTTCTGTCGGGTGAGAAAGGTGACCAGTGTATGTTTGGTCTGGGTTGCTTATAACTGAGCCAGCTTTGGGAATCTGCAGACTGCCTTGGGGGCAGCAAGTTTTCCCAGGGTTAGGTCGTCCTCGTCTTCTCTCTCTCTTTTTTTTTTTTTTTTAATATAAACAGTCTCAAGTTTCTATGCAGTTTCATTTGTGGACTTGCAGGGACTCGCGGAGGTTGAAGCCATGGAAACGGTACGACTGAGTTCCCACAGCGAGATGCTTTTTGGCTCCGTCTGTCGCGCTAGCTCCCCAGTTTCACTTACTGAAAGTGGTATCACTTATTTAATTTCTTCTTAGCCCCGGGGTGGGGAGCAGGGCGAGCTCTGCCTTCCGGAGTGTCAGAGAGGGGCTGCTTATAATACGTTGCCTCACTGTGTCGAAGAACTCCCTGTTTTTGCTTCCCAGACTTCAGTTTCTCCAGGGGGACGGTGTGGTTGGAATTGTCTGGGCCACCTGCTCCTCACACTCTGTGGCCCCAGGCTGAGCCCCGCCCTCTGGAGTGCTCAGTCGCCTCAGATTAGGACTGTCCCACCTCTGGGTGCTCATCTGCCAATTGAGGCCTCCCCTGATGTCTGCTAATGACAGCAGCCACAGAGCGCAAGGCCTGGGACCCAGGCCTTTCTGCCCCTTCATCAGGCATAGTGGCTTTGACCAGGGGCTCAGTAAATGCTCCTTTAATTCAGTGGGAGGTTTTACCAAGTCTTTGACCCCTTTCCCATCCCCTTCCTCATCTTGTTGTTGTGGCCTGTTTTTTTTTTTTTTTTTTTTTTTTTTTCTTGAGCCCCTTGATGTTTTGCCTTTACAGACCCCTTCGCATCTTCCCCTCCTCCTCAGCCACGCCCCCGTTGCCATGACCAGGCCCTCCTGGGCTGTATGAGCTTTCTGAGTCCCTCCTTCCCAGCAGCAGTCCCCCCACCCCCCATTGGCTCACCAGTAGTCCCTAAACACTCCTTCTGTGTACTCGCCCACCTTCTGGCCTCTTCTCCACCTGCTGTGCCTCTTCCGCTCCGGCCACTGGAGGAGTTCAGGAATCCTCTCAAACGACGTCTCTTCCATGAGAGCTTTTCCCACTGTGATCAGAAGTAACACTCTTCTCTGAGCCTCTCTCATGGCAATTCATGTACAAAATACCCGATGTTTTGGGTCTTTATATGCATGTCTTAGCTCTGTCTTACCAAGCATCTTCAGAATACAGTTCTTAATGAGTCATTTTGGGATCCCCGACAGTGCCTGGCCCCAGGGGTACGAAGTAGCTGTTCAGTAAACGTGTAGTTAATTGCTGTGGCTGCCCTGAGAAGCACCTCACTCATTCTTTCCTCTGAGCTGTATTCGGGATTTCCTTGGGTGGCAGGTTCTTCTGGGGACTCCTTGGAGGTCCTTAGCTGGGAGTGGGTGGGACGTGGTGAGCGCTTGTTCCTGAAAAGCTTAGGGTCTTGTGACTCTGCTTCTCGAGCGCCTCTGGCTGAAGGAAACCTGAGAGCCAAGGTGTCAAGGCTGAGCCGTCTAGCACATTTTGTGCTCAGAGTAGCAGAGTGGTGGGAACGCCTCTGACCAGCCGTGCTGGCCGTGGACTTCTGGCAGTGGGACCACTGTAAGATGCCTTACACCGGCTGGGAATGTTGTGGGACGGTGCTCTCCCGATGGTGATCTCTCTTCCATGGCTGAGGTCCCAGGGCACAGTGTTTTCCTGGGCTTAGCAAGTGAGCTCATCGAATCTGTGCGGTCCTTACAGTTTTTGCACCTGGGGGATTTCCTGAAACACGGTTTCATAACTTGGTTGGTTGGGCTTAGCCTGTAAGGTGGGTTTTACGTCTGTACTTTCCGCACACCGTGTGTTTGCTCCATTGTCTTTCTGTTTGAACCGTGTGCTCTTTTTTTCCTGCACGACAAGATTCTGTCTGTTCTAGGACAGCTTCTCTGCTACCTCCTCAGCTCAGCTTCCTCCGAGCCTCACCCACTCCTGCCTCCCACCCCACCTGCCTGAGTTTAAGTACTGGCTCTCCCTCTGCCCTCCAATGAGCTGGGTTAACTCTCCTCTTTATGGACATTTGCTGCTTTCCGCCTCTTTTTATAACAGCTCCGGGGCGTGGTTTGGTGGGTGGCGGTTCTGCACATGCGCTCTGGGG